AAATTTATTATCACTATTGTTAACCTTTACATTAAATCTATACAAATTATGATTTTTAATTAATTTGTTTAGGACATATTTATTTAGAACATATTCGAGAAATAATAATAAAATATTTAGAAAATATGCAGCAAAACATTGTAATAAATCAAGAGATCTGTTAATTAAAACAAATAGTTTATGTATGGAAAAATCGAAAACGTCCAGTATAGTACAATTTAACTTATAAATTGTACTTGTGATAACAAATTGTACTATATTGGTGAAACTGGTAGATCTTTAGGTATTAGAGTAAAAGAGAGTGAATCAGCAATCAGATTAAGGTACAAACAATCACCGTGGTCTATTCATTGTACCATTGATAAAAATAATGTAAAAATATTAGCTAAAGAAAAAACAATTATTTATGAAAATTTAAAGAGCATATAATGATAATGAATTTAAATAGAGAAACAGATGATATATGGGATGACATCATCATCAGTAATAAGTGCTGTAGATGAGGGTAGAATAATGAGTGTGTCTTATGTATTCATACATGTGGTTTTAATAATTGTAAATTTACTTCATTGTAGAAAAGTCAGTGATGGTTTTAATTGTATAATTTAACTTATTCATTTTTAGATAATCTAGAGAAAAATACATAAAAACAATAAATTGTAATGCAAAGTTAATTTGGTTAATTTGTTGTGGAAGTATTGTGCATTAAAAAAGATATAAAATGTAAAGTACAATTTCAAATACATGTAAGAAAATGAAATATGTTTTTTTCTTGGATTTGTTTAAACAGATCTTATTATCACAATGTATAATCATCTTGATTAGAGCATGAATGCATTTTTCACATAACAAGAATACACTTTATTCAAGAATAATATCATAGAACTCTTAATTTTTTACTTTGGTCATAGTTGTATGATGTCATTGTCATGAAATTATGACTTATCTAGTTCTTTTAATCTATTTGACAATAATTTACACTTCTTTATTTCAGAAAACTGATGGAAAAATAGCTGTATTAGGTTCATCACATATGTTTTCAGATCAATATATTGATAAGGAAGAAAATAATAAAATAAAGGTGAGTAAATAAAAATAATTATAAAATAAAATCATAAATAGTAAATAACACCCCAAAATATAATAATGTATTTTTTAGTAGGAATAATTAGTTTACAGTGGTATCTTGTATTCTGAACACTTCAGAATTCTAATGCAAAATTTGACAAAAATTAGCCTCAAAGTTTGAACTGCACACACAGTGAAAAAATGTGCTCAAAGCATAAATGCAATCCGTTATGTGTCCAAGTCATCTTTTGCATTATGCTTGTATGTTTTCAGTGCTTGTTTTTTGCTTTACTTTTAGTGTATTTTGTTATATATACTGTATTGTGTGTTATTCATTGATTTTTAACAATTTCTTCCTGCAGTTTTTCTTTGTTGACAGCTTTTGGGTGCCTCCTATGTTTTGTATCCTTTAGTTAAAAATTTCCCAAATGGAACTTTTTAAACCACATTTGACATGTTTGAAGTTCATCTTCCTCATACACATTACAAATTTTTTTACAGTTTGTATGGGTGTTATACTATTTTCAAAACTCATAAAGCATAATATTCATGATATACTTTTTATCTGAAGACATTACAACTTGATTTTATTCAAACAAAATGTGAAATAAAGAGTTTAAAGTAAACTTCTGAACAAAGAATAAAATCTCACACTATATATAATATATTAAACTTCACAACTGTTATAATTAAATCATGTCTATGTTAAGATGCCAAAGTCCAGTTTGTAACCAATAAATGCAATTTAAATTTTATTATACAGTATTTATTTATTTTATTTATGGTTTTCATGTTTTAGTTTATTATTAGGGCATTTAATAGTATTAATTTTACTTTAAATTATGTATATTTGCTGTTTTAAGTTTATCAAAATATGTATTGTTCAGGGTCATTGGTTAATTCACTTTCCACTATTTCTAATGAGAAAAATTGATTAAATTTTGAACAATTCAGAGTTCGAACGACCTTCTGGAATGAATTAAATTTGAAGTATGCAGGAGGCACCACTGTATATATAATTAAATAGTGTTTAAAAGTTTTTTAAACTACCAATCTGTATGGGAGGGGAAATCATTATCATCTTAACATTTGAATGAAAGTTTTTTGTTTTTACAATATAATTCTAATTAAATATAAGCTAGATTTGAGAGAAATGATGTACTTTTCAAAGTAAATTTGATAAACATGTTAAAAATTTTCATTACAAATATGACATATATAAAGTGATGATTATTTTTGATTTGATGAAATTTTATTTTAATAATACACAAAAAAGATATGTGCAAATAATATTAATTAATAAAGTGGATTAATTGTTAAAATTTTTACTATATACTAGTACATGAGCCCAGCATTGCTCGAGCAAAAAGTAACGATAGCAAAGATTAAGATTATTAGATTATAATCAATCTTACCAAGTGCAGGAATTAGGTTCCTCCTTTTCCAAGACTAATTCAAGAATTTTTAAATGGGTCTAAAAATATGTTCGATTTCCTGCAAAAATGCAAAAAAACCACATCTAAAATAGTACAGTAGATGCCGAGTTCTTCAGGGTAATCCTTAACCCTCTCCCACTCCCCTGTAGAGGGGAATTTTGAAAATCCTTTCTTACTGAGCATTCTCATGATGTACCTAACTGTGTACCTGATTTCGACTTTCAACTCCTAACCTTATTATTATTAATATTAGGGCTCTGTGCTCATTATTATTATGTTGGGTTTAGTGGGTTATATTTGGTTGACACTGGTGGCTGTGTATTATGCTGGACCAGAGTCAAGGCATAGTAACCAAAACAAAACAAAACAAATATAAAATAAATGTGTTAGAGTGTGTATTCAGGAATTTCCTAACAATATGACATGTATTCAGCATAGTTGTCTTCTGTAGTGTGATGTATATTTTTCTATTCAACTATAATGTTTCCAGTCTTTTGTGTAGGGTGTGTGGTATCACACCTGTACAGGAGAGAAAACAGGTACAATAAGCACCCTGTCCATCCTCCACAGATTCCTTATTTTCTGGGCACGTTCTGTGTACTTGCTGACTTTTTCAGTGCATGTGTTTTGTACATTGTGAGTGTTTGGAATGGCTATGTCTATAATGTATGTGATTTTATTGTGCTTGTCAATGAGTGTGATGTCTAGTCTGTTGTGGAAATTGCTTTTTCTGTGATTATGGCTCTGTTGTAGTACATTTTGTGTGTGTGTAGTTTTCCAATACTGTCTGTGGAATGTATTTGTAGTATGGTTTGTGGATGTCTAATAATTTGTGTTTGTTTGCAAGCTCTTGGTGTATTATATTTGCTACTTGATTATGTCTATATAAATAATCTGTCTGTGCCAAGAGCTTACAACCAGAAGTAATGTGTAGTATAATTTCTGACATAATGTGGCATTTTCTGCATGTGTCATTTGTGAGTGTTGTATCTTTGAATACAGTAATACCCCGACTTACGCTATCCCCACTTACGCGAACCCGGAGTTACACGATTTTCAAATCTCGTCAATTCGTCTTTTGTTTGAGCACCACGCAACCCTTGATTACTCAATCCCCCCACACTATTGTTCAGCTTACATGTTTGGATGTGTCGCGCGGAATCCACACATAGCTACAATTTATTTTGTGTTATTTATTTCTGTGTTTGTTATATCTACGGAGACTTGAGAGACTCTACTATGTCATCCAAATGAAGTAGAACTAATTCTTCTGCATCAAACAAGAAAAGAAAAACTTTATCTTTGGAATGTAAAGTTAACATTGGGTATGTTCGTAAAGTCGAACGAGTTAAACGAGAATGACGTCATCGTTATTCCTATTTCGTTAGACTTTTCGAACGATTCGTTACTAACGCGTTTAACTCATTTGACTTTACGAACGTACCCATTATTAAAGACTTCGATACAAAAATGAAAATTTGTGAATTGGCAAAGAAGTTTGATCTACCGGAATTGTCGGTCAGAACAATTATAAAAGGCAAAGAAAAAATTCTCGAAGCTGTGAAAAATGCTCAATCTTTAAATTCAAGCATCATTCGTAAACGTCACAGTATTATCGCTGAGATGGAAACAATGTTAAAATTATGGCTAATAATCAAATAAATGTGAAAAATTGTAAAATAATATAGGCCTAATTTGTTATACATATGTATTATCTAAGATTTTATTAAACATTTTTTTCTAAATTATTGTTTTCTTTAGTCTCCAGCCCCAATTAAAAATTATTTGTATGTATTTATATGCAAAATTATACCCCGACTTACGCGGTTACCGCTCGGTCCCACGTATCACGTAAGTTCGGGGTATTACTGTATGTGTTTTCTGTAGATTTTAGTATTTATGACCTGATCCTATATGGCAATCATGAACCCTTCCATCTTCCCCAAAAATGCATCTCCAAGCTAACCAGCTGTTTGATGCAGTTTTGTCAACAAAATCCTGGGCCAGGTTGTAGGGATGTCTGCCATGGAGTACCTTTCGAGCCCACAATTGCTTAACAGGATCTATGCTTTTTATATGTTGTGTTCTGTTCATATGATGCGAATGTAAGTTTAATGGTGTGTTATTTCAGTAGAGTTACTGCTTTATGTAACTGTGATGTTTTTTGTTTTTTGTAGAAAAACTCTCGCAGTGACTGTATTTGTTTGTAGTGAAAGTTTACTGTCAATTAGGCCATGTTTGCCATCTTTACTTGGAAGGGTTAATCTTTCTGTGGCAGATGTAGGATGATGATGTTTATTATTATTGTCATTATCATTGTATATAAATTATTACTGCTTTCNCCAAGGAAGAGAGGAAGGAGCAATTAAATAATGAAAATTATAAAGGATTTTAAAAAATATATAAAAATGAAGAATATCGCACTTCTGACAATCGCTGCGAGTGTGTAGGTTAAATTTGGAGAATCCGTGCTTCTCGCATGGACAACTGTATGTGACCAGCTCACGCGTCGGAAAAGCTTCTGATTTATTCGTGTACGCACCAGACGAAAAAACAAAAAATATCTTGTATCCACAAGCACTCCAATAAATAAATAGAATTGAAACGACACTTTGAAATGTTTTCCTAAGTTTCAATAAAAATGATGAAATGTAAATTTAATTTTATCATAACGAGTTTGCTTGAATTTCCTTTCTTCTGAGATTGCAGCAATGTGCGACGGGTAAGCTAGTAATCAAATAAATGTGAAAAATTGTAAAATAATATAGGCCTAATTTGTTATACATATGTATTATCTAAGATTTTATTAAACATTTTTTTCTAAATTATTGTTTTCTTTAGTCTCCGGCCCCAATTAAAAATTATTTGTATGTATTTATATGCGAAATTATATCCAGACTTATGCGGTTACCGCTTGGTCCCACCTATCATGTAAGTTTGGGGTTTTACTGTATGTGTTTTCCATAGATTTTAGTATTTATGACCTGATCCTATATGGCAATCATAAACCCTTCCATCTTCCCCAAAAATGCATCTCCAAGCTAACCAGCTGTTTGATGCAGTTTTGTCAACAAAATCCTGGGCCAGGTCATAAGGATGTCTGCCATGGAGTACCTTTCGAGCCCACAATTGCTTAACGGGGTCTATGCTTTTTATATGTTATGTGTTCTGTCCATATGATGCGAATGTAAGTTTAATGGTGTGTTATTTGAGTAGAGTTACTGCTTTATGTAACTGTGATGTTTTTTGTTTTTTGTAGAAAAACTCTCACAGTGACTGTATTTGTTTGTAGTGAAAGTTTACTGTCAATTAGGCCATGTTTGCCATCGTTACTTGGAAGGGTTAATCTTTCTGTGGCAGATTTAGGATGATGATGTTTATTATTATTATCATTATCATTGTATATAAATTATTACTGCTTTCCAGTTTAAATGAATTATAATTTTTATGAAATCAAATATATATATTTTTGTTTGTTTCAGGATGTNATTATCCCTATTATAGAGGTTTCTTATAACCCAAAAGAATAATTACTTACATCCATAAACTATAAACTTTCCAGTATGTCTATCTACAA